GATTTGAATCCTAAAGAGAATCTTTGGGCACTGTTGAAGCAGGAGATCTATAAGCTGCATCCAGAGCTGGAGCATGCATCAGATACAGTAGCTACAAAAAGAGCTTTAATAGAGGCAGTTAAGGAGGCATGAAATGTAATTGATGATAGCATTCTATATAATCTTTCAGCTACAATGTCTCATCGAGTGAAGGCAGTTATAGAGGCAGAAGGATGGTGTACAAAATATTAATATAAAAGTGTAATCTCGGCGGCCAGGGGGGGGGGGGTTTCAAACTTAATACCCCCCACTAGTACCCACCGCTGCCGTGGAAATACTCTCTGCGACCAAACCCATGCATAAAGGGATCCTGCAACGCCAAGTCGCAAAATATTTTTGGTACGCACCGTCTTCCTATTGAGGTTTAAATATGAGGTGTGGCCTGCTGTTAAGAAAATAGGCTTCTCTGTAATTTTGAGTTTTGTATTGTTTGTACGGAGTATATACGCAGTAACAATATCTATTACACATAGTTAGTTATAAAGAGTTCTAATTGAATAAGGAAGGCGGAACGGGCTACTACTGTCATACGGATCGGTGCGAAAACATCGCACACACAGATCCACATGTGTGATAGTGGCTTATACTGGCTTGCATCAAAATGCTATTTTTACGTGAAGCTAAACTGTATAAGAAAGGCCGCTACTGCGAAAGGTGTTTGCAGGGTCCCTCTAATAATTAATGAATGATCCAGAGTCATCAAGAAGTTCCTCCTCACATGTGGGGAGTATAGCACCAATTAAGCTGCAGCTTGCATGCATAATATACAAGGATGGGGTTTTTGAGTTTTACCAATAAGTCCCTTGTGGCTTGCGGGGGCTGGCTCTCAAGGGAGGGAAAGTATCGATAAGGGTGAAAAGCGGCAAAAAACCTTAATTTTTCGGCAAGAAGTTGGTCCTGTGGTCTAGTGGTATGATTCTCGCTTTGGGTTCCCTCCAAACCTAAAATTAGCCTGCGAGAGGCCCCGCGTTCGAATCGCGGCAGGACCCGTTTCAGGTTTCTTTTTTTCTCCTTTTCTTTTCTTTTTCTTCCCTCTGGATCGCTTAGGGAGTAGGGTTCGCCCTAATGCAAATGTTTACGAGAGGCCCAGGACCCTGAAGATGCGATATGATTTGCCGGAGTTGCAATTTTGCTGTGAAAGTACGGAGTAATGTTACCAGAGATTCATTAGCAACGAGGTGGGGAACTAGGTCTGAATATGGGGTTGAGTGAGATATGTTTGTTTGTTGTTGTTGTTGTTTTTTTTTTTTTTTTTTTTTTTTTTTTTGGGGGCGGATAATAACCTTTTGAAAAGCTGAGAGGTGGCTTCAATTGAACGGAGGCCGATGTCCCTCTAGTTACAGATTATAT